ATCCGACCAGGCTGAGGGCCTATACACGAGTTGCAGATTTTGTCCACAAGTCCTTGGCATGACCACTAGAAACGGGTGAGAGGCAGAGGCTACGAGGCGCGGGACCTCCAAGCTCAGATCGTCCGATCCCATGACAAAGGGCGACACGATGGGCCGGGGTTCGAAGAGGTTAGGGTGGTTGCAGACCTTGCGCAACTGCATCAGGATGTTCATAACGGAGAGGAACTGACCTGAGGCAAGAGTGTCGCGCGTGCTGGAGGCAAGATGTGAGAGAGAAAAAAAGGTTGGATTCAGTGTCAGGCGGCTGGCTAACCCAGATATGCACAGGGCAGTGGACAAGGGTAGCGTACGCACGAGGAGAGTGACATAAAGTCGTCGTAGAGGTAGCGCTGGCGTCGGGATAGGCGACACATGATGACATGTTCATACTTCTTGGGCATTTGGCGCTCCACGTCGTCCTTCAAACGACGCAGAAGGAAGGGCCGAAGGACTTTATGTAGGCGCATGACCAACTGTTCGTTGTATTCACTGTTCCCCTCAATCATGCCTGTGGAGGGGAGGAAGAGTATGCATGTCTGATACCCGAAAAACTCGCAAACGCAGAGCAAAAGTATTACAATGAAACCGAAAGAATCCGACCGAATTTGGCCCAGATCCCCAAAACAAACTGGCGTGAGGCATTAAATCAACTGTTCATAAAATAGCACTCAAGATAGCAGGCAATTTAGCTGCCGTCTTCCCGAATACAATTGGTCAAGTTGCACGGGGCAAACGCGTCCTCTTATCCAGGGCCACTATGCCTCCCACCGAAAATCAGTTCGGAGGTTCCAGATGGACCACTTTGTGCAAAGTGGACAGTAAATATCAAAGTGACAGAGAATCTGCTTTTAGCTAAAAGTGGTTAACTCTGTTAAACACGGCTTGTTTTAAAAGCAACAGAACAGTCATTCGGGCGAAAAGATGGAGCTAGCGACTTTAACACTAAGCCAAGTGATGATTTAAAATTTCTTTGAAAATTGTGGAGCGCAGAAAGAGTGAAGTTGTTGCGCTCAGGCCTGACACTAACAGATGGGCATGTTTGGGCTTTCAGTTAATTGCAGTTGCCACAAAAGGGCCTTCACTGTTGCTGCGTGCTAGGCCAGAATGAAGGGGATTTAGGCTCAAGACGGGCATCTGCATAAGTCTTTGGCTATTGACATACATGAGGGTGGCACGCACGCAAGATAGTCTTAGGTTACTTCAGCCATCGCGCCTATTGTCAGTACCAGTCGGGCGACAGACCAGTAATGCATATGAGATAAGAGAGTGGCCAACGCCGAGGTATCACATGTTTCCCGCCCTCCACATGAAAATTCAGCGCAGGTTTCTCTGACGCGATACAAGTTGTGGTTCTGACAGTAAAATAACTTCAAATTGGTGTGGCTTTTGCCGTTTTCTGCTTGTGCGAGGCCCGACACAGGAGTCCGTGGCTCAGTGGTAGGAGCGTAGGACTTCTAGTCAACAAGTGACGGGTTCGAGCCCCAAGTGGTATCCCACCTGGGGTTGAGTATAGCTGGCTTAGGACGACTCGAAAGCCATAAATGGCCATTGCAGTCTCCCTAGTCTTTATCGGTAATGCTCCTTTGCATATAGTACTAGCAGCTGTGCAGCTGATATCGGAGCATCATAGTGAGTCCTAAGGCAAAACGGGACCAGTGAGTTCCATAAGCGATCGCAGAACCCATCCGCTAGTTTAAACACTGTC